ACAATTAGGAAACCTATCGTGTGTGGACCTTCGACCGTTATTGCCTTTCTTCCTAATACTTACTGGAATAAAGGCCCAGTATCGAACAATTTCACGCCTCGCTAGCTCCATAGCCCTTCTGTCGCGCAAGAATAATGCTTCATTATTTTTTATTGATATTGGTTTGTAAACTTTAAAAAACAAGTTTTATCTCGCTTTAAGAAAAGTAAATTTGATATTTTTAAAAAAAACCTATGCAGTAAATATTAATTATTTTTTAAAGCGAAGATTGCTCTAGCGAAAAAAAAACATCCCTTTAGATTAGGCATATCTGCGTTTTTAAACAAAACTATTGGCAACATTTTGGAAAGTCTCAGTTTAAAAAAAAATATATTTTTTAAGAGTAAGAGTTGTGCTGATTACATGGTATATAGTTATAATAAATTAATGTTTAGGTTTATTTTTACACGCTATAAATAGGTTTTTAAAAATTTTTTTCCTTTGATATTTTACAAAGCAAAGATTGCTTTAGCGAAAAAATCATCCCTTCAGATTGGACATGTCTGCGTCTTTAAACAACTTTTGGCAACATTTTGGGGGAAAAAGTTTGTCAAAAAAAAATTAGGTATGGTAAGAGTTGTACTGATTACTTGGTATATAATTATAATAAATTAATGTTTGTTTATTTTTACACGCTAAAAATAGATTTTTTAGAATTATTTTCCTTCGGTATTTTACAAAATAAACGATTAATTGCGTGTTTAAATAAATTAAAAAATAATTCAGTTTTATTTCAAAAATATGAACTGTTTTCTTTATTTTTTTCAAATATAAAATTGTAAAAGTATAGTATCAAAATTTATAAAAACAGATATTATTAAAAAAAAAGCTTATGCGGTACATATTAATTATTTTTTAAAGCGAAGATTGCTCTAGCGAAAAAATCATCCCTTTAGATTAGGCATGTCTGCGTTTTTAAACAAAGCTATTGGCAACATTTTGGAAAGTCTCAGTTAAAAAAAAAAATATATTTTTTAAGAGTAAGAGTTGTGCTGATTACATGGTATATAATTATAATAAATTAATGTTTAGGTTTATTTTTACACGCTATAAATAGGTTTTTAAAAATTATTTTCCTTTGATATTTTACAAAGCGAAGATTGCTCTAGCGAAAAAATCATCCCTTTAGATTAGGCATGTCTGCGGTTTTAAACAACTATTGGCAACATTTTGGGGAAAAAGTTTCAGTAAAAAAAAAATAGGTATGGTAAGAGTTGTACTAATTACTTGGTATATAATTATAATAAATTAATGTTTATGTTTATTTTTACACGCTAAAAATAGATTTTAAAAAATTATTTTCCTTCACTATTTTACAGAATAAACGTATAATAGCGTGTTTAAATAAATTAAAAAATAATTCAGTTTTATTTCAAAAATATAAACTGTTTTTTTGTTTTTTTCAAATACAAAATTGTAAAAGTATAGTACCAAAATTTATAAAAACAGATATTATTTTAAACAAAAGCCTCTGCGGTACATATTAATTATTTTTTAAAGCGAAGATTGCTCTAGCAAAAAAATCATCCTTTTCGATTGGGCATGTTTGCGTTTTTAAACGAAACTATTGGCAACATTTAAAAAAAAAGTCTCAGTTTAAAAAAAATATATTTTTTTAATAGCAACCGTTGTGCTCATTGCTTGGTATATAATTATAATAAATTAATGTTCATGTTTCTTTTTACACACTATAAATAGGTTTTGAAAAATTATTTTCCTTTGATATTTTACAAAATAAACATATAGTTGCCTGTTAAAATAAATTAAAAATAGCTGTTTTATTTAAAAAATATAAACTATTTTTTTTCAAATGCCCAATTGTAAAAGTAAAGTATCAAAATTTATAAAAAAAGATATTAAAAAACCTATGCGGTAAGTATTAATAATTTTTTTTAATTAATTAAGGTTTTTAGTTGAGATGAAAAAAAGTTAATGGCACGAGAGGGATTCGAACACACGACCTTCGGCTTGATACGCCGCTGCTCTACCACCTCTACCAAGCCGAAGGTCGTGGGTTCGAATCCCTCTCGTGCCATTAACTTTTTTTCATCTCAACGAAAAACCTTAATTAATTGTAATGTTTAATTGGTAAAGCGGACCACGAAATTAGTGAATTTTTTTTAAAGCTAAGATTGCTCTTGAGAAAAAATCATCCTTTTCGATTGGGCATGTCTGCGTTTTTAAACAAAACTAATGGCAACATTTTGAAAAAAGTCTCAATTTAAAAAAAATTATATAGTCGTGCTGATTGCTTGAAATAAAATTAAAATAAATTAATGTTCATGTTTATTTTTATACACTATAAATAGCTTTTTAAAAATTATTTTCTTTGATAATTTACAAAATAAACGTATAAACATAGCCTGTTGCAATAAATTAAAAAATAACTGTTTTATTTAAAAAATATAAACTGTATTTTCAAATATCAAATTGTAAAAGTAAAGTATCAAAATTTATAAAAACAAATATTATTTTCAGATAAATCTGGAAAGTTTCCGCGCTATCTGTTTTTTGGTAGGTCTTGGCATCAATAGGTTGTAATATGCGCAATGGTTAATTACAATGGAGACATTTCTTTAATTATTCTAAGTTTTTATGATTTTTTTGTGTTAGAAAGCTTGGCAAAAGTGGACCCCATTTAAACATTATGCTCCCTCGTCCCTGGTCATTAAAACAATAGGGCTACTTGAGACTGGTAATGGTCGCATTGTCATGGAAATGTCATCCGCCTGACAATGAGCCAATTGCTCTAAGCGGAAATTGTGGAGAACCGATAATAGCGGGGCTACTCCTAACGTAGATTACATTGGAATATAATATCTGAGAAATGGTGAGCCAGGGCTATTGGCTCGTAGTTGTACCCCGATAGCAGAAATGGCGGAAGCGCTATAAAATATTGTACGGGACAGGTATCCCATTTATACCATTTGGTAATGAATAAATCGTGTACAGGAGCACGAAATTGCTTCTGGTATATATCAAGCTTTGTATAGGTACGTGAAGGGATTCAACTCTTACGGCTTAGGGTTATTATATAAACAAATTATTTCTAATTTGACCACATGGACTTCAGAACATTAATATTAATTTATCTCTATTATTGGGTTGTCCGGAAAATAATGCAGGATTTTAAGTTTTCATTAAAAAAAATCTATATAAAANCAAAATCCTGCATTATTTTCCGGACAACCCAATATAAAACAAATTAATTGCTTAAATGCTTACATTTTATATGGTTAAGTTGGATTTATTTTAATACTTGTATTACATTTTACCTTTACTGATATGATGATGTTATATTCATAATAATTGAAAAATTTCTACCTAACATCACGAAAAAAGTTTCCCCTTCTTGGTTAACCAAAAAAACAAAGGATTTTGTTCTTAATGCTTAAAATAGGCAAAAAACTAACACTTCGACCAGTACTGCATCTGTAAGACGTGTTATGAGATGCTAATCAATGCTGGCACTGGGTTACGTTAAGAAAGTTGGAGGCGATGTGGATGGTTCTTGGGATGAGGTGAGCAAAGAAGGGTTAGAATGTTGAAAGAGTGGAGTGGTACAAGAGGAAGCTGGAACGGATCAATTTTTTGACCAAGGGAATACTAAGGTCATTGTAGGCAGTGAGGTTGGAGACACAGTAAGGTGTTTGGACAATTCCTCTGATTCCTTTTTTTTATTGAATTGCTTGAATTTATTGGATGTTTGATGGCTTGGCAGAACTTCACGATTGCACCACGTATGTCCACATAGCTAAGTAATGTTTGTACAAAAATTTTTCTTTACCATCATATCTGATTTCGGCCTTATAAGTAATACGTCCAAATCGTCCATTTAGTCGCTTCAGTCTTGTTTGAGGATTTCACATCAATCTACTGTCTAAGTATAGCCCTAAGTATTTTAACTATGTAAAAGTAGTTCTTTCCTGTTATCGTATAGACGTGGACAAGGCTGTTTGTGAATGTAATGTCCTCGTTTACCTTCATCTTCCACGTTTTGCATCGTTTTTCAATGAGGTCATGATGCTGATAAAAATTCGTCACCTCCACGTAGATTGCAAGGATGGTGTTGGGATGTATACCTAGGTCGGCAATAACATACATAAATGGAATGTAGGATGGGACCAAGAATTCTCCCTTGTGAGATGCCGGCCGGCATCGGTCCTGCCTCAGAGTTCTCATTGCCTCGCCTTTCTCTTTTGAAGAGAACTCCTGTGTGCCAAATCCTGTCAAAAGTCTAAGAATGCATTTGAGGAAATAAATTCAACAACCCTGAAACATTGCTCCTCCATTCATTGATGAGTGGCTAGGACGAAAACGAAATTGGTGTGAATGAATAGCATTATGTATATCTTGGATGAGTGTTAGGCGTATTTCAGGGACTTTAGACATTACTGGGATTAGGTTGATAGATCTGTGAGAGTATATGTTGTGGCTGAGAGATTTCTGGGGTTGGTATGAGAGTGATTATGGAATATTTCCATACCTGCGAAAAGTGATAGGCTTGTAGGACTGAATTGTAAATTATGTTAATATCTATGGCCTTTTGTGGGAGGTTTCGAAGTAGTATGGAGTCATAATATCGAGTACGGTTATTTTTACTATACCTTTACTACTTTACTTCAGAAGTCTTGAAAGATTTAACAGAGGGATAAGGAGGATAACGAAAAAAGTAGGTACTTAACTGAGAATGAAATTTAGTTTTTCAGACCAGACCTACCAAGAGGTACAAAAACTTAAAAAATTACATTTTTTAAATAAAATACAAAACTACTTCAAGATCAGTAGATGGTGGCGTATGCCTGGATATTTCTCTATCGAAAAATGAGACGAAAAACGAAGTTCATAGTTTAGTTGAGTTATAATAAGTTAACAGGCTTAAATAGCACCTTAAGTCTATTAATAAAAAATCTACTGTGGTTCTTACGTAAATGTTCAATGTTTATATAAAAAAGGCGTACCTGTGATGACAGTGGCAAGTTGTTCTCCTCCACGTAGGTTTCGCAGTTGAGGCAAGGGGGGCTTTGCCCCCTCAGAAGTCCTGGCAGTACTACCACCACCGCCCACCACACCACGACCATCCTCCCTGAAAAGTTAGTAAGCTAATTAAATTATCATGGAAACAACTATCGACCTGTTCAGAAGATAGCACTAATACTGCTAAAGTTCGATGATGGGCGCATTTGATTAGTCCGTTATTAGGTGCATCTCGGCTCATTCATATCACGACGAAAATGTGATTAACGGACTGAATCGATAATTAATACATTCCATTAATTTGATTGTTAATATTGACTGAAATTTGATGGGAATGCTTTAATATTTTCCTTTTTCCTTTCATAGAACGTAAAAAATGGTAAATAGCGATTTTTAAAAATTCAAATATTCAAGATAATTTTCAAGCATTTTTGAAGGCCAGTAAAGCATTGAAAATAAATTGAAAGTGAATTTGCAAGAACCTGGTTGTATTCGTTCTCCACGTTTGCACATGAGTTAAAATACTAAACAACTGCTTTTAAAAATACAAATTTCTGAGATAATTTTCAAGCATTTCTTGACTTCTGAGACCTAAAGGAAGCCATTTAAGAGTTGCAAATTCATTGAAAATTAATTTACAGAAACCTGGTTGTATTCGTTCAGCTTGTCTGCACAACAACCTCCATTTTTAAAAATTAAACAAAAATGCAAACTTTTTACTCCAAAATTATATAACAGGAGTGCTGTAAACAATTATTCACTCAGTTACGAATTCTTAAGCATAAACTATTATTTACTATTTACAATTTTAAAAAACTAACATTTTTTGTCATCTTTGAAGTATTTGATAATGTGCAATGTAGTCAAATAATTCTTTCGTCCATATTTAATAATAATAATAAATAATAGTTTATTGGGGGCGTCGGTGGCAGCAACGGTTTAGGCGTTGACACGGCGCTCATCACTGTAAGGTAAAGGTCCCGGGTTCGAATCCAGCGGCCCTGCATTCCAACCCGACATACTTTCAAATGGGCTTTTTTTTCAAAAACACCGGCACCCTGAGGGTTTATATGACTTCTGCTGTTTCAAATCCTCGTAAAAAAAAAAGTTTATTTTTCCCGATTTACGATGGTGTGGAGTCAATTCTCAGGATTGGGTTTGTGTCTCCCAACATAAAAAATTATAATTACATTTTTTGCTGTTTTTCTTATAATTTCATTATTTGTATTGTACGGTGTTGAACAAATACTGCAGCATAGAATTTTGTTAATTAACAGAAGGTTTTCGATCTCATGAAGTGAGTCTTCTTCGGTGTTAATTACATTTTTCTATCCTATATATCCTACAAAAAACAGTGGACTTCTCAAAACTGATTTTTGTAAGATAGACAAATGTAATTAATACTGAAGATGACTGATGTAATGAGGTTGAATCTCTTCCTAAATAAAATTCCATCCCTGCACTCGTTCAACAATCTACAAAACAAATAATAAAATCCTTTTTACTTTCAATTTATATGTCAAATCTTGGAAGACAAACAAAAAGGTACTAATTTTAGTTATATATAATTTGAGGTTGTAAATATTTTAATATTAAACTTTTTTTACAATATTTTTACAATCATCATTATCTACAGATAGATTCTAAACCGTACATACTAACCATATAATTATTTGAATAATTAAATCTCTAATCATTAATAAGAGATAGCATCTTCATGGTCCATGTCTACTGAGAATGACAGTCACTTTTTGGCCGAGAAAAAAAATATTCTGTGCTCAACTCGTTTCTTCCTCCCAATGTTGCATCCATTCTTTAGAAGAAGTTCAAATTAAATTTTGATAAACCTGTGACTACAAGACATCCATTTCTTGTTTAAATTTCGCTGTCCACAGTAAGTCATCCATTTCTTGTTTCAATTTTGCTGTCGAAAGTAAGTCATCCATTTTTTGTTTCAATTTCGCTGTCCAAAGTACGTCATCTATTTCTTGTTTCAATTTCGCTGTCCAAAGTACGTCATCCATTTCTTGTTTCAATTTCGCTGTCCAAAGCAAGTCATCCATTTCTTCTTTCAATTTTGCTGTCCAAAGCAAGTCATCCATTTCTTCTTTCAATTTCGCTGACCAAAGCAAGTCATCCATTACTTCTTTCAATTTCGCTGTCCAAAGTAAGTCATCCATTTCTTGTCTCAGTTTCGCTGTCCAAAGTACGTCATCTATTTCTTGTTTCAATTTCGCTGACCAAAGTACGTCATCCATTTCTTGTTTCAATTTTGCTCTCCAAAGTACGTCATCCATTTCTTGTCTCAGTTTCGTTGTCCAAAGTGCGTCATCTATTTCTTGTTTCAATTTCGCTGACCAAAGCAAGTCATCCATTTCTTCTTTCAATTTCGCTGTCCAAAGTGCGTCATCCATTTCTTGTCTCAGTTTCGCTGCCCAAAGTGCGTCATCTATTTCTTGTCTCAATTTCGCTGCCCAAAGCAAGTCATCCATTTCTTCTTTCAATTTCTCTGCCCAAAACATGTCATCCATTTCTTCTTTCAATTTTGCTGTCCAAAGTAAGTCATCCATTTCTTTTCTAAGTTTCGCTGTCCAAAGTGCGTCATCTATTTCTTGTTTCAATTTCGCTGACCAAAGCAAGTCATCCCTTTCTATTATCAAATTTAGCAGATGGTAGATATACACGAGCGGGTATGTGTTTAAAGACATTAAAACCAAATTCAATGATTTAATGCATATCTTGTGATTTTGTGAATGAAAGATACCATGTTTGATAGATGTTTTATTGCCCGTTCCACCTAATTACTTTGTGCGCAATAAAGGATATTTAATCAATAAATTATACCTAGTGACAAACAGAAATTCTCAATATTTTTATATATTTTATATATACGCAAAAGTAAACGTGTGTTAACTTCATATGGCCTATCCTAAGTCGACTCAACTCTCAATTAGTATACTTTTGATCGTAAAACAATGATTAATGTTTGCTGTCTAGACATTTTTGTAAATATTTAAATTTGACAGGTTCTTCTTCGTTTTAATTTTTTATTAATTAGTTTTTTATGGCAGTTTCTCAAAGGCTTTAATCCAAATGTGAAAAACAGGCGAATGTGGTCTTCACCACCTTCTTCCATTTTATTTTCATATCTCTCTCTCTCTCTCTCTCTCTCTCTCTCTCTCTCTCTCGTCATGGACCACAACGTATCGGAGAAAGTTTAGGGTAATGGCCAAGCTCGGATCGCAATTGGAGGAGCTGATTTCATGCCACCGGCTTCATAAAACGGCAATGGAAACCTTCAAGACCTCCCTCAATGATACCGGTAGATAAGAATGGTGTTGCAAAGCCCAATCACTGTTTTAGCTTATCTTCATTCGGTTAATTCAAAGCCAAAGTTATAAGGTGCGGGGAGGGTTCTAAAGGCATTGACGCCTATTAGCCGATTAAGCACGTACCCCTGAACTACTATTCACTTGATTTCCTTATCTCCCTTTAGCCCTGCTCCAACCTTGGATCTATTCAGAAGGAGGTTGAGGGTTGAGAACATAAATAAAACTGACTTGAGAAGCAAGAGTTTTCACCTTAAAGCCTATTGATAAATTATTATTGAGATAATGTTTAAAGTAAATATAACCATAATAATTTATTTTCTGTATTATAGGAGATCTTTAGATTCTATTCAGATTCTAAATATTACAAGGATTTAAAAAATACTAAATTAATTAATTAACTTGCCTCCAGGGTAGATAAATAAACTCATTCAAATATGACAGTTTCGTCCCTCAAAATTTATTTTTCACTCGTTTACTTTACCTTTGGGCGGGTTAAGCAGCGATCCGGGTGCTTTTAAATGCTGCCCCGCGCACGCCATCGTTACTCAAGCCGGGTTTATTAACTTGCGAAAGTTATCTACGCAGCTTAATTTCAAAACCGGGAGTTGTTTATGAGCAACGAGTCGGCATCAAACAAACGGCAGAGTAATCTTTCAAGTATACAGGGTGCAGCAATCAACCGGCTGAGATTACCTCGTTTATTTTGACCTATCAACATTGAAATAATGAAGCCCTCTTGACGGGAACATCCTTTTCTTGATCCTGGATTTTTCATGAACTTTCGATTCAGCATATTCACGTCATTCGATAAGTTTTTAAATTATTTAAACCTGACGTTTATCTAAATAGTGGCCAAAAATTTGACCCTCTGGCCTATGTGACATATCATCAATGTTAAAATTTCCACTTTTGATTAATTTATGCACATTTCTGTGAGTAAAAATATTTAATAATTTAATGTAATAAAACTCATATTTCAATCTCGTGGATTATTTAATATCTCCCGCTTCGATATTCCATCCAAAACATGCTCCTCGCTTTGTAGTATGTCAGACGATTCGACTTTTTTCAATCATCATCAATGAATCAGCATCGAGAAGGAGAGGGGGACAGAGAGAGTGAGTAAGTGAGTGTGTGTGTGTGTGTGAGAGAGAGAGAGAGAGAGAGAGTGAGAGAGAGAGAGAACGTGTAGGTGAATAGGACTTCTTGAATCAAACTTTCATTGTCAATATCTTCATTATGGGTGTTTGGCCTGATAAAAAAAATAAATAAAATGGGAAAAATAGGAAGGAAGAAGAAAGGAAGTCTTACTAGGCTTTTTTGGGATGTACTTTGAAATAACGGAAGAGGTTCGCATGCCACCGTGTAAATTTGGGGCCTCAGTTGCGACGACTATGGTGACCTGCAGGGTGGATGGAAAACGGGAAATTGTGGAAAGGTGGATAGAGTTGGAAATGAATGAAAATGGCTTTAGTTGCGAGGAGACTATAATGTAGGGGTAGGAAAGGGAGATTTTTCAAAAACTCAAAAACTATGGCGAGGTGTGCAATTAAAGGTTTGAACGGCGCAAGTTGTTTGTTCGAGATCGAGACGAGAACTGGGGGACGGGATTTAGGATAGGAAGAAATTCGAAGATCGTAAATGAAACAGCATTGAGAAGAAGGAGAAGAGAGAGAGAGAGAGAGAGAGAGAGAGAATGAGAGAGAGAGAGAGAGTGAGTGAGAGAGAGACAGTGAGAGAGAACGTGTCAGCGATTAAGACTTCTCGAATCAAATCT